CGTTGGCAATTTAATGCGCTGCATTATTTTGCTCATTGCGCCCTCCTGTGGCCTCAGGAGACAAGCCAAAACTTTCCTTAAGACCCATTTAATCTGCATATAAAACATTAGAAATTGGTTTAATTTTAATTTTGTTTTCGACTTTTAAAACAAAATATTTGTTGTTTGTCTCAATAAATTGGGTTAATTTAAAAATACAGTGGTTGAATTTAAACAGTTTTTTTTCTATTGCTCTTTGTTTTAAAAAAAGGTTATAAAAAATGTCAATAATTATCGATACCGAACGATATGAAACATTATATCGTTGATACATTTTTTAGCTATATCACCCAGCCCTAAACCATTGAAAAGTTTGGGGTCAGTAAGATTTTTTTTTGAAAGAAGTCTCTGATACTCACCAAGGCTGTATTAAATATACCGTAAAAACAGTAATATTGTCAAATTTTATTACAATTTAAAAAAACTTTTCTATTTGAACACGTTTTAAAATGTAATTTATTCTTGTGATACAAAGCTGAATTTTTAGCAGCATTACTCCAGTCTTCAGTGTCATATGATCCTTCAGAAATCAGTCTAATATGCTGATTTACTGCTCAAGATACATTTCTGATTATTATCAATCTTGAAAACATTTGTGCCACTTAATATTTTTTGTGGAAACCATAATACATTTTTTAGGATTCGTTGATGAATAGAAAGTTAAAAATAACAGCATTCATTTGAAATTGTAAGGACTTTCACAAGAGTTTAATGCAAAGAATTTAATGCTGAATAAAAGTATAATTTCTTTAAAAAAAAAAATCTTACTGACCCCAAGGTTTTGAATGTGTTTTTTGTTGTTGTTGTATTATTTACCTTGAGAGGATCCCAGAAAACCCTCAGTGAGGTCAATAAGTCGATGTATTTTAGGTTGTAAAATGTGACAATATTTATTATTAAAAATGTTATTTGTAAATATATTTATTTGAGACAGAGGTAACAATGCCATGTTTTACTGATAAAGTACCGAGGTCTAATTGTGTGACATATTTGATTTTAGAGGCAGTGATACCAGAGGTGAAGTCTGAACATAACGGCAACCAGCAGGAGAACTCAGCTGTACAAGGTAAGAATTTACTGTATTTAAACTACATGTGCAACTACCACAAGCTACAAAACTCGAAATAAAGACCTGACACCATACGGTGAAGAGTCGGTATTTGAATGAAAGGTAAAAATGGCTGCAGTTGAGAAGATGCAACCAGCCATGTGCTGTACATATGGTCCAGAGGCCCCCCTCTCTCCTGGGGCCGAACCCCAGCAAAACTACCAGAGTAAATCCCTGAACTTGCCTTGCATCTCATTGAGTCCCTTTGAAGATGTCCAACTCTTTCAGGAGCGAGATTACAAACTGATGTTTTCATGTGCCTTTCACACTTCCGTTCCCCGAGATCTATTTGCGCTTTACAGCTCTTCTGCACACACTCATATAGTTACATTCTTATCCCCGTTCCATCCGTCTTTCCCTCTTCCCTCCAACCTAGCCTCCCAAATCTGGCCAAAAGTTGTGTTTGATAAATGGGACCTATTATCAACACGTCTGACGGCGAATTAAAGACCCGCTGCCGTACATCTTATTGAAATGTGGGGCTGGGGGGAAGGTGAATAAATACATACGTTTACAGAAGATGCAGTGGAAATGGGCTGCAAAGTGCTCCGCTGAAAATGAGTGAAATGTTTTTCCCCCTATATAGCCAATTTCACAGTCTGCAAATAAAGATACATCCATTTTTCTTCTGGCTTTGACAGCGGTGCTGTAACGGAGCACGGCTGAAGCGTTTGTAGAGTAGATACCGCCAGTTTTTTTCTTTTTCTTTGGGGCAGCACCAGGGTTCATTCTCAGTGTAAAGGGGTCATCGCTGGGTGATTGTAGGTTTCTCCGGTTGAATCAGACACAACTTCACCCTAAATCTGTGGCCCGTCTCATGTTTCAAAGTCTGTAACATTCAACTCAAAGCAAAACCTGCAGATCAAAGACATGCAGCCTTAGACTAGACTGAGAAATACATCAATTGTTATTTTGTAGGCCGACATCTGGAGATGGAATAGAGCATGCTGATGTCAAATCTTGTGAGACATCAACTTGTGACTCGAGAAAATAAAAAGAAGTTTAGTGCTCTTGAGTTGGTTTTCAAACATTAAGTGATGAGCAAACAAAATCACATTTGCTTATTGTACAAGAGTAACAATCCCAAAACAAATCCAAACGATTTTGGGTCGAAACCCACCAGATGAGAAGCACTCATCTTGAAATCGTACAGGATTCCTTTTGCTGCTCTTTCAATCAGGCTTAAAATTGACTAGGGGAGTCATTGGCTCCTAAAATAAAAACATTTAGGAGCCCAATAGGTTTTGTAGTTATCACAAATTGCAGAATCGCTTGATAAAGGTGGTTGATCAGAAGCAGTTTAGTTCCCATGCCATCACTTGTAATGATGATTTGTCATATAAAGGTCACTTTGTTTTGTAAGAATATTTCTGGCTGTTTGGAGGGGGGAAAAACGTGTTGATGGTTCTAACATGTTATCCATATTACTCCCAATAGTGATGTAAAAAAAGATGACCGGAGAAAAAAAATTATATTTCCATGCTTTGGGTTTACTCACAGATTTTTGAGTTCCCCAAAAAGCCTCACGTGCGTTTCTTGAGGGAATGCAAAACATTTGCGAAAGAACGCAAAAGTGTATCAGGGATTGCAAAAAACTGCCCACAAACATAAAGTTTCTCAGGGGAATGCAAAACTCTTGCTGGAGAACGCAAAAGCTCTGAAATATTTTTTTTTCCCACCATGTCCCTTTGGGGGCTTTGTACAAGATTACAGTCAGACCTCACTATGCTTAAATGACAAATAATATATACACATATATATATACACACATTATTATTATTTTTAATGAATACCATTTATTACAACAAAATGTTATGTATATTTAAATGACAAATAACAGTTCTCAGTTAATTTTGAAAAACTGAAAATATTTTAGTGGCAGTATGGAGGCCTGTGGAATGTAGTCTGTGACCTGAGTTGAGGCGTCACTAATGTGAACATAACAGCAGGGATTACTGTGAGAGCTCCGTCACAATGCCCCTGACCTTTAGAGCAACGAGCAGAACCGGGAAACCTGAAGATCAGACCTTTCCCCCATAATATATATATATATACACACATTATTATTATTTTTAATGAATACCATTTATTACAACAAAATGTTATGTATATTTAAATGACATAACAGTTCTCAGTTAATTTTGAAAAACTGAAAATATTTTAGTGGCAGTATGGAGGCCTGTGGAATGTAGTCTGTGACCTGAGTTGAGGCGTCACTAATGTGAACATAACAGCAGGGATTACTGTGAGAGCTCCGTCACAATGCCCCTGACCTTTAGAGCAACGAGCAGAACCGGGAAACCTGAAGATCAGACCTTTCCCCCATAATGCAGAGGTTAATCCGAGGTGCAAATGAGTCTCTCTGCTATGGGACGGTAATCGCAGTTCTTTGGCTGTTCACTTCACGAGTAGTGAAAAAACAGCTTTCCATTACACTTTTATACTTCACTAAAGGAGAAAAAACAAGTTTTTGCGCACAAAAAGTATTCTCGTAGCTTTCGTAAAATGACGGTTAAACCCCGGATGTCACATGGATTATTTTACCGATCTCCTTGGTTTGGAACGCCATGAGGGTGAGTAATTAATGACAGAATTTTAATGACTATCCCTTTAATACTGTTCCAGCTGCTAATTCAGTTTATGACTGTAAAATTAATCGCATGTTAATTGAGACTGCAATTGTGGATGCCGTATATTCAGTACTTCGATAAAATGAAGTGACTATGAATGAGTCCTACTGAATGAGCTTTAAACTATTTGAGTCACAAAGTTTTAAAGGGGTCATATGACGTTGCTAAAAAGAACATTATGTTGAGTATTTGGTGTAATGCAATGCGTTTATGCGGTTTAACCCTTTGACGCGTACGATCACACCGGTGTGATCAGTCTTGGCTGGTCCCTGAAGCGTACGATCACACCGGTGTGATTAGAACTTTCAGTGCGTCACGTCATCAACCGCTGAATTTAAATTGGCTTTCGTGCTTTGCCTGGCGCAAACCAGATCGGACGCGCTGAGCGCTTGTCATATTATCACAAATATTCAGTGTTTTCAACCATATAATGCTTATTTTAGGTTTCAGACATTTAAATACACATACAGTGGGTACGGAAAATATTCAGACCCCCTTAAATTTTTCCCTCTTTGTTGTATTGCAGCCATTTGCTAAAATCATTTAAGTTAATTTTTTTTCCCTCAATGTACACACAGCACCCCATATTGACAGAAAAACACAGAATTGTTGACATTTTTGCAGATTTATTAAAAAAGAAAAACTGAAATATCACATGGTCCTAAGTATTCAGACCCTTTGCTCAGTATTTAGTAGAAGCACCCTTTTGATCTA